CTCTCATGCAAATACAGATCTGCTTGTCAATTTTGTGAGTTTTATCACTGACAAAGTCATTGATTTTGGTGCATCGCAGCGTGCGATGCGGCATGCTCTTACCCACCGCCTACAAAATCTGCTTCCCTGGTAGCATTGCTCTTAACAGAGTCAGAAAAACAGATATGAGAACAAAATAGAATTTAACCTACCCAATATCTTTGATCGTACATCTAGTTAGATTCTCTATATACATTAAAGAATTATTTGTTAACGTTTATCAGGTCTTTTATGTTTTATACGTCGGTTAGCGATTTATTACCAAATATGCATAAGAAAAAGAGATTGGCTAGGATCTGATTACAAAAATACATAAATCTATTATTTCTTGCATAGCCATTAGAGATTTGTTACCAATATAAGCATAAAAATTATAAATTTGTTAGGGTAAGAGATTTTATAAAGTGAACATAAAAATAATTGCTACGTAAAACTCACACTTGAGAGTGCCATGTGGTATATGGCTTTTGTGTATTTAAATTCTTCTCCTTTTTTAAATCTTAATAGTTACTTAGCCGGAAAAAAAAAGACTTCTAATTTCCAATTTTCGGTGATGAAACTTGTTCAAAGGGGTATTTTTAAGATTAATGTTTCGCTTTTATTCGCTAAATTTGGTTTAGATCTTGATGGTGCTATCAGCAGAGTAGTTTGTCTCCAGTTTCCTTTCGTTTCGGCCATACCCAGAGAACAAGCAACAAGAAAATATTATGCAACAATACAATTGTCTAATTGGACATAGATAATCGCCTTTATTCTACCTCTGTTCTCACTCTAAATAAGTAAGACTATTCAAAACTTTTAACAGTCATAATTTCTCCAAACGCATTACATAAAAATAAGTCACATTCCTCATCAGTGACCAAAGGAAGTGTTCATAGATCATAAATTCAAAGTGGAAACAGCACTAACGTCACAAATAGAAATGTCCAACGCAGAGTGATCATTGAGTGACCGGGAGGGGCCCAAATGAGCAACCAAAGTCTTCAATTTCGACCCTCGATTCGTACCATTTCATAGACTTATTTGCTGCTGTCACAACTTGTGAATGGATACTTTTGGTCTACAACGAGTGAGGGGATTTCTTTTGCGAGATCTTGTCTTGAATGGTGCCCACAACACGGGCTATGTATGGTACAATGTTGTGCTGTGAAAAGAAAAATTAAAGGTACTTTTTCACATGGACATAATAGAACGTCATAAAGCCAAGAAAGAAATCACATTACAACGTGTTTTGTTCTTAGTTGAAATGAAACGTCATGTAATTGCATGATAAAATGTCATAGCAAATAGACAATCGCAAACATTATGCTTTGTTATAAGTATTATAGCTCTATGGCTGGATCGCTACTGATGAAGACGCCAATGCAATAAGAGGGTAAACTTTATATGTTACAAGTATTATAGCTCGTAAATTTCACATCTTTTTACTTCGGCAAATGGGGAACTGGTTTGCTGCATTGTAATGCGTGGAAATGCCAAGAAAGTTGGAACAGGGGATCTCAAGAAGGTTGAGTGTTGTGGGTCCATGTTCCCAGGAATGTTCCCCATGGCCGGGCCCGGGCTGGGTCCCTAGCGCCCGAACTTGGGACTCCGGTTGAACACGAGACTTGTTCTCAAACGTGTAGTTCGTAATTTTTCTGTAACAAATATCAGTAAATGACTTCCCTATTGTTTGGCAAATACGGACTAACATGCTTTGAAAATAAGTTCCTCTGGAAAAATTTCTATTAAAGTTCATTTTTCATGAAATAAATGGAGCTTGAGGTTTGGGCAAACTCCCTTGATTGAATTTGGGAGTGGATGTAATAAATTTGTTGTTCCCCTGTGAACCGATGAGCATTGTTTGCACAATGAATGAAGGATCTTGATGGTGCCAACAACATAGTTGAGGTTTTCTCTGTTTTCTATTTTTTTTGGAGATAGAAACAGAAACAGAACGAACAAGCAATTAAAAAGTAGATGCATTTTTCTATGATTGATTGAGTGTTGCCAGAGAGAGATAACGCTAATGTTGCAAACAGAAGTCCGAGATGGAGCTGTCGCAACGGCAGGCTAGAGGGGCTACATGAGCAACCAAATTCTTCATTTCTCCCCTCGATTCTTCTTCCCATTCCACAGACTTGTTTGCTGTTGTCACAACTTATGAAATGCATACTTTTTGTCTAGAACGGAGGGGAAAACTTAGTGCAGTTTTTGATTACTTACGTCTCAAACATCCATTTGGGTTGAAGGTCGAGTAAGCCTAATTCTGCTTTTAGATTGCAAGATTAATACGTTTCTGCCGTATTCTCACATCCAGTTCTCAGCGATGAAACTCATCGAGAAAGTTATCTTTTGCTTGTCTGTATTTATTTTCTAGATCTTGATGGTGCCGATGACAGTATATATATATATATACTGTCTTTGGTTTTATTCGTTTTGGCAAAAACAAGACAAGCAAGAGGAAAATATTAGGTAACAACGTTAGGCTACTGCGCGGTACAAACGCCTCATTACACAAACAATCACCACGGGAGCAGCAATCTGCAGAATGACGAAGGCCAATTCCACTTCTATTCTCCCTCTCACTAAGTGAGAACTGTTGAAAACTCTTAATAGTCCTACTTTCTCCAAGGGAAATATGACGCAAATGGTCTCTAAATTTTGGCCCAATATGTAATGTTATCCCCGAACTTTTAATTTGTTTAATATGGTCCCCAAACTTTAGCCTAACGTGCAATGCCATCCCTAAACTTTTAATTTATTCAATGTGGTCCCTAAACTTTTGGTACATGTTCAATCTAGTCCCTAAGCTATATAAAAATAATCATTGTTGTTCTTCCATTAATTCAAATTTATGAACAATATTGAAAATTTTAATAAAGTTTAGGGACTAGATTGAACATATACCAAAAGTTCACAAACCATATCGAACAAATCGGAAGTTCAGAGACGGCATTGCACCTTAATATAAAGTCTAGAGATCACATTAAACAAATTAAAAGTTCAGGAATAACATTGTACATTGAGTCAAAATTTAAGGACCATTTGTATATTTATCTCTTTCTCCAAAGCATTACACTACAGAAATTACATTCCTCGTTAGTGACCAAATGAAACGTCCGTAGATCAACAGCGCTAGTATCGCAAACAAACGGGTCCAACCTAGAGCAATTATTGAGCGAACAGGGCCAAATAAGCAACCATAGTCTTTGATTTCGACCCCCAATTCGTAACATTCCACTTGTTTGCTGCTGTCACGACTTATGAATGGATACATTTGGCAGGAATGGAGGGAATAGCCTCAGACCTTCTTGTTAACCACACAAGCTCTTCATCTTATCTTCTCGCAGAGGGGCTTTTCATGAAGGGGATCATCATATGTTGCTATATGACCCCTTGGTTTCCATTTTTTTTTTTGGACTAATTGTTCACCCAAGTCTGCCATACAAATACAGATCTATTTGTCAATTTTGCGAGTTTATCACTGACAAAGTCATTGATTTTGATGCATGGTAGGGTGCGATGCGGCATGCTCTTACCCCTACGCACCAAGCGACCGCCTATAAAATCTGCTTCCCTGGTAGCATTTGCTCTAAACAAAGTCAGAAAAACAGATTTGAGAACAAAATAGAATTTAACCTCCACAATATCTTTGATCGTACATCTACTTAGAATCTCTGTATACATTAAAGAATTATGTTTTAATGTTTATCAGGTCTTTTATCTTTTATACATCGGTTAGAGATTTATAACCAAATAAGCATAAGAACAAGAGATTTGCTAGGATTTGATTACAAAAATACATAAATCTATTATTTCTTGCATAGCGATTAGAGATTTGTTACCAATATAAGCATAAAAATTATAAATTTGTTAGGATAAGAGATTTTATAAAGTGAACATAAAAATAATTGCTACATAAAACTCACACTTGAGAGTGCCATGTGGTATACAGCTTTTGTGTATTTAGATTCTTCTTCTTTTTTAAATCTTAATAGTTACTTCGCCGGAAAAAAATAGCAACTTCTAATTTCCAATTTTTGGTGATGAAACTTGTTCAGAGAGGTATTTTTAAGATTAATGTTTCGCTTTTATTCACTAAATTTGTTTTAGATCTTGATGGTGCTATCAACAGTGTAGTTTGTCTCCAGTTTCCTATCGTTTCGGCCATACACAGAACAAGCAACAAGAAAATATTAGGCAACAATACAAATGTCTAATTGGACATAGACAATCGCCTACCTCTATTCTCACTCTAAATAAGTAAGACTGTTCAAAACTCTTAACAGTCATAATTTCTCCAAACGCATTACATAACAATAAGTCACATTCCTCATCAGTGACCAAAGGAAGTGTTCATAGATCATAAATTCAAAGTGGAAACAGCACTAACGTTGCAAATAGAAATGTCCAATGCAGAGTGATTGTTGAGTGATCAGGAGGGGCCCAAATGAGTAACCAAACTTCAATTTCGACCCTCGATTCGTACCATTTCATAGACTTATTTGCTGCTGTCACAACTTGTGAATTGATACTTTTGGTCTAGAACGGAGGGAATAACCTCAAACCATTTCTTAACCATACAAGCTCTTTACCTTATCTAATATCTTCCCGCGAAGAATGATTTTTTGTGAAGTGGACCATCATGCTGTTGCTTTATGACCCCTTGAGTATGCAATTTTTGAACTAACTGTTAGCCCAAGTCTTCCATGCAAATGACAGATCTATTGGCTGAATTTCCAGTCAATCAATCAATTGTCGATATGGGCCTGAAGTTTTTCCTTATGTTTACCCGTAGCTAAAGATTTATGTGTTGCACATATTTCTTCGTGTTACATCACTCGCAAAGTCATCGATTTGACGCATCATAGCATGAGATGAGGCATGTTCATGCCCCTAGGCACCAAGCACCACCTATAAAATCTGCTTCACTCTCTCAAACTCTGCTCATCAAAACAAAGTTCTCTGTTTGAAACAAAATGGCTCCCTTGTCGTGCTTCTACATGTCCATACCCTTGCTTTTCTTGTACTTGTGGTCTCATCCTATTGGCGCCCACAATCTCTCTCGTCCTGTGAAACCTCTATGTCTCGAGGATGAAATGTCTGCACTGCTGCAGTTTAAAGAGAGATATGAAATCGACAATGTTTCCGATGATCTTCTTGGTCGTCCCAAGACTCTATCCTGGAAAAACAATCGGGATTGCTGCTCCTGGGATGGGATCAAGTGCGACAAGAACACGGGCCATGTAATTGCTCTCAACCTGGGAAGTAGTTTTCTCCATGGTTCTATCGACAACAACAGCACCCTCTTCCAGCTTGCTCGTCTTGAAAAGCTCAATCTCAGTGACAATCACTTCAACTTCTCTCAAATACCATCCCGAGTTGGAGATCTGTCAAGATTGACTCATCTCGATGTCTCTTATTCCCTTTTTTCTGGCCAGGTCCCATCAAAAATCTTCGAGCTTACCAGGTTGGTGTACCTTAACCTGGGTTGCAATCAAGGTGAATATAATTGTCCACTTTTGTTGGAGATGAAAGCACCAGGCCTGAGAAGCCTAGTTCAAAATCTGACCAGCCTGGAAGAACTTTTCCTAAGTGCCGTCAACATGTCTTTTGAAGTGCCCAACACTCTGGCAAATCTGTCTTCCCTGAGAAGGCTACACATGGATGACTGCAACCTGCACGGTGTATTTCCGTCTGCCATTTTTCATTTATCAAAGCTGCGATTTCTTGTGGTTGGTCACAATGATGCTCTAATAGGCAGCTTGCCTAACTTTAACTCGAGCAGTCCTCTTAGAAAGCTGCAACTGCTATTCACGAACTTTTCTGGGGAGCTAGCCAAGTCAATCAAAAACCTTCCTTCATTGAGTTATCTTGACATACATGGTTGCCAATTCTCTGGATCCATCCCGGCTTCACTTGCTAATCTTAGCAACCTCGAATACCTAGATGTCGGTCTTAACCCATTCACGGCCCGGTCCATTTCCTCTATGTCTTGGATTTGGAAGATGAAAAATCTCACCACTTTAGGCCTCTGTCAAATCAATCTATATGGCGAGATCCCACCTTCAATCAGAAACTTGTCTCAACTTGTTGAATTAGACTTTTTTGGCAACCAATTAAGCGGTACCATCCCATCTCAACTCATGAACCTCACTCGATTGGCCGTGCTTGACCTTGAAGGCAATAAATTCCATGGCGAGATACCTTCATCAATTTATCAACTCCAAAATCTCCAAGTCCTCACCCTTGTGAAAAACAACTTCAACGGTACTGTTGAACTAAACAACTTTCTCAAGCTCAAACGATTAAGAATACTCCAACTATCATCTAACCGGCTATCATGCCGCATGAGTAGTGCAAATGGTCGTCATCCTCAGCTTTTTGCCCTAGGACTGGCATCGTGCAATTTGAGCGAGTTTCCAGCATTCTTACAAAACCAAGAGACTTTGAATTGGTTGGACCTGTCGGATAACAACATTAGGGGAGAAGTGCCCTTTTGGGTGTGGAACAGCAGTTTTAATAGCATGCAATACTTGAATCTCTCTCATAACTTTTTAACTGGTCTTGATCGATATTACCCGATCGATCCTTTCTATATGTACACAATAGACCTCTCTCACAACATGTTGAAAGGACCACCCCCTGAAGCACCGCCGTCCATAATGTACTATATAGTATCCAACAATACACTGACGGGAGCATTGCCACCATGGATCTGCAATTTGAGTTCAGCAATCACACTAGACTTGTCTTCTAACGATTTGACTGGTGTGCTTCCAGTTTGTTTGGGCAATATCAGCGAATCTCTCATGATATTGAACCTAAAAGGCAACAATTTCCACGGGAGCATTCCCGAGCTATTGGTGAGGGGAACGCAACTGACGATGATTGATTTGAGTGACAACCAGTTGCAAGGCCAGTTACCAAGGTCCTTGGCCAATTGCAAAATGCTCAAGTTCATCAACTTTGCAAACAATTTTATTGTGGACACCTTCCCGTCATGGTTGGGATCTCTACCAGAGCTTCATGTCCTTATTTTGCGATCCAATAAATTCCACGGGATCATAGATAGGCCTATATCTAGTTCCACGTTCCTTAAGTTGCGGATACTTGACCTCTCTATAAATGCATTCGTCGGTAAGTTGCCCATGGAATTATTTCAATATTGGATTGCCATGAAAACCAAGACGGGAAACTATACATACATGCACAAAAGCCTACAGCCGTCAGCACACCTTTTATACACCTACTATGGCAATTACGATTTCTCCATGACAGTGATTTACAAAGGGCTTAAATGGTATTACCCAAAGATATCAGAAGTCTTCACAATCATCGACTTCTCCTGCAATTTGTTCAAAGGAGAGATTCCTAGTGTCATGGGTGATCTCAAAGGACTACAGGGACTGAACCTTTCCAACAATTTCCTCACTGGTCACATCCCATCGTCGTTAGGAAATCTCACAGCACTTGAGTCATTGGACCTTTCTCGGAACAAACTCTCAGGACAGATCCCTCAAAAGCTAACAGAACTCGGGTTCCTTTCTTTCCTGAACGTGTCTTACAACAATCTGACCGGGTCAGTGCCCAGAGGGAAACAGTTTGATACGTTTTCGAACGACTCTTTTGAAGGGAACTCGGCACTATGTGGGGAATTCATATCCAGGAAATGTCAAAATTTAGGGGGTGTGTCAGAACAACCTTCAACCCACCAAGAAGAAGACTCGGGATCACCAATTGAACTCGATTGGAAAATTGTCCTAATGGGGTATGGGAGCGGCTTAGTCATCGGAATGGTCATCGGAAATGCATTCATCTCCTGGAATCATGTTTGGTTTAAAGGAAATGCTAGGAGAAGGGGATGGCCTAGTTGGAGGCAGCTTAGGAGGGGTAGGAAATCCTAGTGAGCCAAGCTTTTCAATTTCTGTGGATATTAGAACTTATCTGAAAAATGAACTAGGTATTTCCTTGTTTTTCTTAAATGTACTTGTTTCTTCATAGTATCTTTACTGTTATTTATGTCAAACCTTCACTTTCTTCGGTTAATCTCTCATCACATCTGTTTACCACCTCTCCAACCAGAACTCTTCGTTTTTTGGATGATGTCATTGTTAGCTTATAAACCAAGCTCATGCACACCTTTTTCTATCAATGTTCAAGCAAAAGTACTCCTATTTAACAATCAAATCTAAATTGCCACATGGATTCTTCTTTATCCAGAGGTTGCATCACGAGCTAAAACCTGTTTTCAGACTCTAGTAAAGCGAACAATAGCATGGGTACAATGTCCTAGTGACTTTATGCAAAGGCTCTGATCTGTGCTTCAATCATTTGCTAATCTTAGCAAATTTTCAGGATCCATCCCAGCTTCATTTGCTAATCTTAGCAACCTCGAATACCTAGATGTCAATATGAACCCATTCACTGCCCAGTCCAATTCCTCTTTTTATTGGGTTTGGAAGAAGAAGAAGCGTGCCACTTTGCATCTCGAAATGATCAATTTATATGGTGAGATTCCACCATCAATCCGAAACTTGTCTCAGCTTGTGGACATAAGCTTTGCTGACAACCAATTAAGGGGTGCCATCCCATCATGAACCTCACTCAGCTGGCTACCTTGTCCCTCAAAATAAATCAACTATCGGATTCTATAACGTCCTGGCTTATGACCGTGACTCGACTGATCTTGCTTGACCTTGCTGTCAATAAATTCCACAGCGAGATGCCTTCATCAATCTATCTACTCCAAAATCTCCAAGTCCTCTGCCTTTTTAAAAACAACTCATGTAACAATCAACCAAACGCCAATATGCAAGAATTTTACTCAAATTTGTACCTAGGTTCCCTTAAAAAAAGTTTAAGTAAATGTGACACAATTGGCATAATTTGGATTTTTTGTGACTCTTCCCTAACATACTGATTGGACCAGAGCAAGACAGTCACGAAAGAAACTCCAAGACCAGAATCAGTGAAAGAGTAAATGGCGAACACGACTCGAGCTCTTTAGAGACAATGACTGAGAAAATGGGCGAACAGAGCCACTGCTCATGGTTGGCTTGAAGCGGCTATCAACAGCGGGTAAGCAGCGTTCGGAGAAGGTGAATCGACTAGGAATTCTCTGGAATTTGATTCTGGAGAGAAGGAACTTCCGGTGAGGTTAGTCCATAAGGTGCTATCTGCTATATATCGTCTGCTGTTAAGAGAAAGCTAGAGATAGAGAGTCGATTCTGTTGCAAACGTGGCCCTTCGCATGTCCGCGCTAGAATTCCTTCGCTCATCTCTGTTCCTCTTTGAACCTCAAGAGGGAAAGAAAGAGAGAGAGCGAGAGAGCCGGGCCAATCGCGGGATTATGGGCCGAACTCTCACGGGCTTTATGGGCTCTAACTTAAACTTGTGAATCTGGGCCTGTGCGAAGTGGCTTAATGCCAATTTAAATTTGGGCTTTATGGGCTGCGCTGATGGGTCTGGGTTGGTGGACTGGGCCGAAGTGAGCGAATTACACTTAATAGATGGTTGATGCAAACGGTTTGGGTCTTTGCATAAATGGCCGTATTGGACTCTCTCATTCATGAGATAATGATATAAATAGTCTCTGAACTTTTGCCCAATATGCAAAATGATTCCTAAAATTTTTAATTTGGTCAATATGGTCCTTGAACTTTTGATACATATTCAATGTAGTCCCAGAACTATATGAAAATATTCAATATAATCCTTCCATTAATTTAAGATCAGGGACAACATTAAACATTTTCATATAGTCTAGGGACTAAAATGAACATGTACCAAAGTTTCAAGGACTATATTGAACATATTAAAAGTTCAGAGACCACATTGAAGAAATTAAAAGTTCAGGAACCACATTGCCTATTGGGCCAAAGTTCATGGACCATTTATATCATTTTCCCCTCATTCATTCATTTTTTTTTTTGATAACCCAGGGAACCCCCGCACGACCGACAGCCGGGGAGTAAACCCTGAGAGCGACACGTGCTAGCCACCACACACGTGCCACCGGTTAAGTCACCCTGCGGCGCCCGGGATTCGAACACTCAACCTTTTGCGAGAGGAAGAGTGCGCGCTCCAGCAGCGCCACCCAGGCGGGTGGTCCCCTCATTCATTCATTTATTTGTTCTTTTTCCTATTATTTTTACTATTACTATTTTTTTTTTATTTTTATAAAGACACATGCTTGGCTTATCGGCAATTTAGGTGTCAACAAAAAGCCACGTTATCAAATGATCCTTCTTCTTTGAGGAAAAAAGAAGAAGATTTTACAGAAAAACCAAGTGATAATAACTGTATAAATTCCAGAGTACATGACTAACAAGCAGACATAATAAGAACTTTAAGATATTCAACTGTACCATGTTGGTTCTCTTATAATATGCTGCTCTTACGAGAAAGAATTCTATTTCCTACCGCAAACACATAAAAGAAGATCCGAAAAGCGAAATTATATATATAGACACACACATTTCACAAGAATCATTTGTTACGGCTATTGTCCAATCAACGTCCAAATGCAAATTTTTGTTTCAAATGACAATACGACCGTTGCCTGTACAATTTGCGAGGTGACAAACAACCAAAGCAAATGATTAAAGCGCAGATGAGAGCCTAGATTTGCATAAAGTTACAAGGACATTGTACCCTTGCTATTGTTCGCTTTACTAGAGTCTGAAAACAGGCTTTAGCTTGTGATGCAACCCCTGGATAAAGAAGAATCCATGTGGCAATTTAGATTTGATTGTTAAAGAGGAGTACTTTTGCTTGACCATTGATAGAAAAAGGTGTGCATGAGCTTGGTTTATAAGCTAACAATGGCATTATCCAAAAAAACGAAAAGTTTTGGTTAGAGAGGTGGTAAACAGATGTGATGAGAGATTAACCGAAGAAAGTGAAGTTTTGACTTAAATAAAGTAAAGATACTATGAAGACACAAGTACATTTAAGAAAAACAAGGAAATACCTAGTTCATTTTTCAGATAAGTTCTAATATCTACACAGATTGAAAAGCTTGCCTCACTAGGAGTTCCTACCCCTCCTAAGCTGCCTCCAACTAGGCCGTCGCCTTCTCCTAGCATGTCCTTCAAACCAATCATGTTTCCGGGAGATGAACGCATTTCCGATGACCATTCCAATTACTAAGCAGCTCCCATAACCCATCAGGACAATTTTCCAATCAAGTTCAATTGGTGATCCTGAGTCTTCTTCTTGGCGGGTTGAAGGTTGTCCTGACACATCCGCCAAATCTCGACATTTCCTAGATATTAATTACCTAAACAGTCCCGGGTTCCCTTCAAAAGAATTGTTCAAAAACGTATTGAACTGTTTCCCTCTTGGCATAGACCCGGTTAGATTGTTATAAGACACGTTTAGAAAAGAAAGGAACCCGGAGTTCTATTAGCTTCTAGGGAATCTGTCCAGAGTTTGTTCAGAGAAAGGTCCAATGACTCAACTGATGTGAGATTCTCTAACAATGATGGGATGTGACCAGTGACGAAATTGTTGGAAAGGTTCAGTCCCTACAGTCCTATGAGATCACCTATGAAACCAGGGATCTCTCCTTTGGACAAATTGTTGGAGAAATCGTAATTGCCATAGTAGGTGTAAAAAAGGTATTTTGGCGACTCTAGGCTTCTATACATGTAAGTAAAGTTTCCCGTCTCCTATTTTATGGCATTCCAAGACCGAAAGAATTGCAACTTACCAATGAATGCATTAATAGAGAGGTCAAGTATTCACAGCTTAAGGAACGTGGTACTAGATTTAGGCTTCTCAATGACACTGTGGAATTTATTGGATCGCAAAATAAGGACATGAAGCTCTGGTAGAGATCCCAACCATGACGGGGAGGTGTCCATGATATAATTGTTCACAAAGATGATGAACTCGAGCATTTTACAATTGGCTAGGAACCTTGGTAACTTGCCTTGCAACTGGTTGTCACTCAAATCAATCATCGTCATTTGCGTCCCCCTCACCAATAGCTTAGGAATGCTTCCATGGAAATTGTTTCCTTTTAGGTTCAATATCATGAGAGATTCGTTGACATTGCCCAAACAAACCGGAAGCACACCGGTCAAATTATTAGAAGACAAGTCTAATGTGATTGCTGAACTCAAATTGCAGATCCATGGTGGCAACGCTCCCGTTAGCCTATTGTTGGATACTATATAGTACATTATGGATGGCAGTGCTTCAAGGGGTGGTCCTTTCAACATGTTATGAGATAGGTCCATTGTGTACATATATAAAGTATTGATCGGTTAATATCGATCGAGACCAGTTAAGAAGTTACGAGAGACATTCAGGTACTGCATGCTATTAAAACTTCTGTTCCACACCCATAAGGGCACTTCTCTCCTGATGTTGTTATCCCACGGGTCCAACCAATTTCTATGCTCTTGGTTTTGTAAGAATGCTGGAAACTCGCTCAAATTGCATGATGCTAATCCTAGGGCCACAAGCTGGGTTAGAATAACATTCTTGCTACTCATGCGGCATGATAGCCCGTTAGATTATAGTTGGAGCACTCCCAAGTGTTTGAGCTTGAGAAAGTTGTTGACCTTCTCATTGCTACTTTGAATTGATCTGCCAAGACTTCCATGTTGCCTGCTCTGTCTTTGATTATTTTCAGCCTCGGCTTCAGTCCATTTCGTTAGTCTTATAGTCAAACGTGACTATATGTTCATTGATTGGCTGAGAATCACTTCTATGAAAATGAAATTGATCGTGATGAGTTTCTTCCAAGTTAAAGGGAAACTGAATTGCTTTTTGTTTTTTGGTTTTTTGGATGTTTGTATGATCCAGTTTAGAAACATTAATTTGAATCCTTTATGCTGTTTTACTTGATTTCGCCGAGGGCGGCAGGCCAACAAGGGCTGCCCTTGCCCAATTC